TAAAAACATGCCAAATTTAAACATGCGAATCATCAGTGCAAATTCCATATCGGATCGGTCAAAGCCCGAGTTATCAACGACCGCCACCAGTGCTGTTGACCTACAGGGTGCTGTAGACTTAACATGAGCTCTGAAAGTTATTACACATTTATTTCTGCAGAAAGGAGTGATCTCTAAAAGGAGTGTCTAAACAGTCTGAAGGAGAGAAGCTCTCGGAAAAGAGTGCTACTTCTCTTTTTATACTGTGAAGTTTCAGCAAACTTCTTCTCAGGTCCAGATGATGGAAAGAATATTCAGTCACACACAAATACCAAAGTGCACTTAATTACCTTTTATTCACAGATGCGCATCTGGAGATCATTCGAGCAGCAGGGAAGATGATCTAAAGTTACATCTCTAACACTGTGTATTTTATACTATTTCTTCCCGCCTCCTTACACATTCCTTTACATAAAGCTGGAAAGTACCAAACTGTTCCAAAGATACTTTTGCAGGATGCAGGTGGCAATTGTCAATACTTTCCCAAAGATATTTTCTCCAACCATACTCCCTAATCCCAAAGTAATACATCCTGTTATTTTAGAAGCACACACACACATGATATAGTGAACATCCTGTTATAATGAAGAAACTTAAATTTATCCTTACAAATTCATTAAGTATAAATCAGTGGAGCTGTTCCAGACATCTTTATATCCCACTGTATTCAATTCACCTGCTTCCTCCTGCTACTCCCTTCATGGGAAGCGACTCCCTTCATGGGAAGCGGTATTTATCCAAAAATACATGTGAATGATAGAGTAAACACAGACATTGCAACTGATTAAACATAGTTGAAGGTTACATTCTTATTCAGTTCCGTTATATGAATTAGTGCCCATGCTTCAAACCCAGTGTAAGTTATTTACCATATAAGTGTATAAAGATATAAGTGCTTTTTGCTACAATGCATATCCTTATATGTGCACAGTGAACAGTGTTGATACTTGAATTGCAATGTCTCACACAGTTAATATCTCACAATTCCCCCTTTTGATCTCTAAAAGAGATCACACCTCAGTTTCTGTTAGCAGGGAGTTTGTCACACTTATCAACTCCTTCATCCTGCTCCAGTAATGGCATCGTTAGTTTAGAATTCATTCCCTGTGTAGTACTCTTCTAGCACAACTAAATTTGTGCTGTCCCCAACTGCATTTTCTGGCTCAAATTTCAGGCTTGACATGGTTACAGGTATGAAT